AGTGATCTCCAAAACCCCGTACTGATAATTCTACTAAATAGCTAATATGATACAGTGCATGAGAACAAGACTTACATTGCATGTATATCTTGTAACTTACGTAATGCAATTTTCAATGTTTTCAGTTAGGTTGTTACTTCTAAGTCATACTACTTCAACAAACTTGAAATAATGAAAAATTTGTGTGTTTCTAAATGTTTAATGTTTTGTTTAATCTTAAAATAGAATAATTTCAGCCTTTGATTCATTTATTATAAGCCAAGATAGATGGCGGCTAGCAGTAGAATCAAGGACGTGCGTTTCGTTCTTATTGAAGACTTGTCAGTTGGATCTACCTGTATCATATAGTTGATCTACACTCCGTAACTCCAAATGCCATTGCGTTATTCACTTAGCTAATGAGTCCTGATATTCAACAAAAATCGGAAGATACAAGCAATCAACACCAAGTGAATTAATTTGGATTCCAAACGTTTGTATAATATTTATGAGAATGAAGTTGATTTTCAACCTAGACCTGGTAATATTTAAAAAAGGATATCTGCAGTGGTAGAGAAAGTTTTCTAGGAGTTCTAACCATGAATACGTAACTGCATTATGAAAGACATTATGATTGAGCTGCATAAATAATGGCTTCTAATATTTTCAATTAACCATAAGTTATATAAGGGACGTATATTGTAATTAAAAAGGAAGGGAACTAATATCCTTTATAATTGTTGTATTAATTCAGAAGTTTGTGCTGATGATGTTGTTCAGAAAAACGATCAAACCTCCGCAACCAAACCACCCAGTTCTCAGAACAAAACTCCATCAAAGTCAGATATTTATTTGACCTTGGTTGTTTTAAATATTTACATAAATATTCACTTGTGGTTCAGTTGTATGAAAAACAATATAATAATTTCAGTAAAGGCGATATCATTAACATACTTTACTCGTATGCGACTGATACATTAAATAGATTCAGTGGATTTTAACTTGCAAAACAGATTGTCAGTAGTTTCTTACAGTTCATCTGACCCAAATTACTACCATGACGACATTCGGATTACAACTACATTCGATGACTAATAATACTGAATAATGATACGAAACATATAACATAATACGATGAGACTATAATTCATGGACGGCTTTGAGCAACGCTAGAGTGAATTTCAGAGTGTCCAATTACTAACTAAGATCAGATGAGGGTTATAAATCTGTGTAAGGAATTCAAACTATGATGATTAATGTTAGGAATTAGATTTATTGTTTTCGTCATGAACTGACATCAGCTATAATGCCAAAACTCTAATTAGCCAAATAGATGAATGAATTTCGCGTTGAAATATGAGACTTGTTATCTTATACGCGATTGGTTCGTACATAAATTCTAGTCTCGTCCATATTATTAACGAGAGAAAACTAAGTCCTTTCTGATCTTCAATCTCTTATTTCGTATAAATTCATATTGTTTTTCCAAAAATATCTTTGCTTCAAAAGAGAAAAACTTGATTCCTGAGTAGTTTTATAGCCAATTATATATATATATATATATATATATATATATATATATATATATACTATTGTGGGCCAGCGTAATTTTACATTGGTTTTCAGGAGAACCAGACACCAACCGGACTTTCAGGTAAAAACCCAAACAGTACAGCTCAACCCCATTTAGCAGGGGAAACAGACACCGCACAGGCTTTAACGCTACAATCTGAATAGTACAGCTCAATCCTGTAGCGCAACCACACAGGTACCAAGCACCCTGGTGGACCATTCGCACCATTCATATACACATTCAAATCACATGTATAGTTATTCCGATCAATGATGTTGTTTTGCTTTACAAAATTCATCCTCTTAGAAACTCAAAATAATGAGTCAACTTGCCAGGTTTTGAAACATTTCAATCAATTAACAGTTTACTAGACAAACACTATTGTCCACTCCAATTTTCATGCTAGTTTTGTAGACCAAACCTATGTAATTTTCTGACTGTGCAAAAATAATATCGTTTCATCATCAACTAATCATAGCCCGCCTATTGCATACACACGAACAAATGCAGATAAACACAGACAGGATAGCAGCATTCTCTGCATTAGTACACAAGGAGAAAACTAACGTCCTCAAATACAACACGGAGAACAGCAATCCAATCATACATGATGGTGAAACTCTGGAAGATGTAGAACTCTTCACATACCTAGGAAGCATCGTCGATGAACAAGGATAACTAGATGCAGACTTTAAGGCGACCACTGGCAAAGCAAGTGCCACATTCCTACAATTAAACAAATAGCATATCCAACTCAAAACAACTCTCTGTCAACGAATATTGAATTCACAATCTTCAATACGAACGTCAACACAGTCAGCTTCCACAACTACTACAACCATCGTCAAGAAAGTACAAGTATTTATAGATAGTTGTCTACGCAAGATACTCAACATCATTTGGTTGGATATCATCAGTAACAATCACCTGGGGGAGAGAACAAACAAGGTTCCAACTGGAGAGGAAATTCAGAATAGACGATGGAAATGGATAGGACATACATTACACAAATCATGAAACTGCATCACGACTGAAGCCCTAACTTGGAATGATGAAAGGAAGCGGAAAAAAGGATGGCCGAAGAACACATTACGTCGGGAGATAGTATCAGATCTGAAAAAAATGAATGAGAACTGGAAAGAGCTGGAAAGGATTGCTGAGGACGGGGTTTTAATGCAGAATGCTGGTGAGCGGCCTATGTTCTTTCACGAGGAGTAACAGACGTGAGTAAAAAGTAAATCATCTGATCAGTTTGATGCTAGGCTCCATTCAAGACCCATTGAAAGGAACAATCGAAAACTGGAGATCATTAGGTGATAGTGGATCACAATGTATCCATTATTCGTAACAATTCTCAACTATTTCGTTTTCTATTGTTTAAAATATCTTCCCAGGTCTTACCTGATCAGGATTTAGACCTATCTCATTATTTAATATTTTATTAGAATCACCGGTTAGTGCCACTAGTTATATCTGACTCCATTTGGATCGTATTAATGATTGTTATTAAACTGTACATTTCGCCTATCCTCGTACGCAACTATCGACTTAACTCGTCTTAGTGAATAACGGAATTAAATGAGTCAAATAGTAGAAGGAGGTTTGAATGTGTTGATCAAAACAGACAATTAGAAAGACGAAATGAAGAAAGAGAAGGAAAGAGAGCGATTCCAAATGATGCGCCGTGGAGAGGGAATGTTAACCGACTGAATTTATTCAAGGGTTAATCAATATTTATAGTTAGACAAAAATAAGTTAGAGACATGTGATGAATAAGATAAGAAATGTACATCCATACGCTTACATAAAAACAGTCAAGATTAATGAGCAAATAAGTGACAGGGTAAAACTGTGACTTGAGAAGAATGAATAAATTAATTTATTCATAGACTAGTATAAGCTATATGGGCTTGATATAATAACAGCTCATAAAGTGTGAACAAACGATAATCTCATGAATAGTTCATCCACAATCATTCAGCGATCAATAAATACCTGGATAGTCCAGTGGATGACACAAAATCTATCTTTCCATCATCATTGACGATCAACGTCTATTATGAACTTCAGCCATCTATGATGACTTCATAGAACTCTAATATTTGACCCAATGTAAAAATCTTTTCCTTTAATAAATAAAGTTTAACATTTTTTTGAATTTTTCATAAGTTTTATTTATATATGAATATTTTCAATCTATCGTTAAACTCTTTAGACGATGTTGATCATTTTAATCGTCCTTTTCTCCACAACAGTCTTAAGTACTGTCAAGAGCATGAGAGCAGTTATCGCTTCCCGGTTGCCCACACCGTGGAAGGGTTCTTCTGAAGGTGCGTGAAAACGAGATTGATTTTTTTAAGTTCGTTAAAGCTTGAATGCAGCAACTGATTCGGTTTATTCGGAACGTAACGAAGGATCAGGGTTCACAAACTCGATAGGCTATTGTGGTCCGTAGTCCTCGACTCAGCTAACTCGATCAAGAAGTCTTGGTAAGATGAAGAAGTGTATTCTACAGGCAACTAGGAGATACCAGGTCAGGTCTGGTCAGATAAGTCAGGCACACAAGTCAAGCGTATTTATACAAAGTTTATCATCGATATTGTCATGGTAAAATGTTTTAAACATTATTCAATAAGGTCATCAATCGACAGCCATTCAAATATTTAGTCGATAAGTTCGTCAATTGACCGCCATTCAAATATTTGAACATTTAATCGATAAGATGAAATTACAAATTATGAGGTTTGGGGATTTGTCGTCCCCAACAAATTTAGAGGTGGGCTTAGTGACCTGAGAATGTGACCTCAGTGCCCAAGAGATAACTATTTGAGGTCGGTCACATACGGCTTTTTTGTGAGTAACTATCGCGGTAACTCCGTACCTGTTGGAACCTTACCGCCGTGGATGGTTATCCGTGTGATAAAGCGAGGTATTCATCTTTAGTGTCGACCTTTTCTAACCTCACGCTTCATTGTGGATAGGCAGCATCGCTTCATATCTTTCTTCTTGTATTATTACGTATTTATATGCAATCTTTCTTTTATATATTACCACCATTGAATTAACTACTCCTATGAATCCGGTGTCCATCTTGTTGTGCTTATGCGATATGACAACTTAAACTGTCAGAAGTATGAAGGCGGTTGTCACCTACTGGTTGCTAACACCATGGTAGGGTTCTTCTAGAATTACCTGAAAACGAAATTGATTTAAAGGTGGTTTTAATGACCTGAGAATATGACCTCATTGCTCGAAGGACAACTGTTTAAGACTCATCACACACAACGAAACCCTAGTCCTGAATTCCACTGCTAGTCACTACCCATCTTTACTTATTATTAATAAGATTTTTTATTGAATTAATGTTCACCCAGTAACTAAATTTAATAAAACAATAAGACAGTTATCACAAGAGTTTATATATATATATATATTTCTATATATTTGTCTGTACATATACAACCATTTTCCTAATTATTTTCATTATAATCATCTTATAAATTAAGAAATGGGCAAAATAATTGTAAAAATGTATATCGAAATTGTCTTGACATAACACAATATAAAATAAAATTTAATCCATTATTAATTAATGTTAAAAAATCCAAGAAATCACCTAATCTTTCATAGACAGTTGCACTGAAACATCCACCTTGAAAATTATTTAATATTAGCAATGCAGACTATAAGAAAAGAAGAGAGAAAAAAAAACAGAAAAATATTTTTTTATTATAAATTCTTCACATATAATTAAAGTTAAATATTTTAACATGATCGTTTAGTTTTTGATTGAGATCATGAACCGACTGATGTTAGACGACTATTGGAAACCTGGAAGAACTGGACGGCTGTTTCGTCCTACCGTGGAACTCCTCAACAGTGCGCATCCACGGTCCCGCTCGCGGGATTTGAACCCAGAGCCTTGGGTCTCGCGCGCGAACGCTTAACCCACTGTACCACTGAACCGGCATCCAATGGTGATAATGTCTAACATCAATCAATTCACGAAATCGCGTGATCAAATTCTAGTCTCCTGAGGTCTCTAACCGACATGGATTAGCTACACTGATAATGGCTTCTCACTAGAACTCCAGGAGTTCCCTCACGAAGCTAGTCACTAGTGAGCACATTTTGATTACTAGTATAGGGGTTATGGAGATTATTAAGTATTTGTTTGAAGACATGAACCGAATGATGTTGATGAGGAGCCTCACAATAGGACGAAGCGGTTGTCCAGTGCTTCCAGGTTTCCAATGGCGATTTAACATCAGTCTGTTCATGATCTCAATCAAAAACTTGATAATCTTCACAACCCATATACTATTGATCGTTAAGATTCGATCTGCATTAAGAAAGATCTGACCTATATGATATTGATCATTATTCAATGATCAATCAATGGTAAATACATCGCAGCTAGCTCAGTGGTAACGTTTTATGACTGTGATATTGGATGAAACAGGATCGAATCTGTTAGGAAGCATCAGTTCAGTCAAGATTACAGATATGACTTACTGACGAGTGTCAAGTAGCACGAAAGGTAGATCTAAAGTTTCCTATTGACTACCTTCAACTACCATCTTAATTGTAAAGTTCATTGTAATTAACTAGTAATAATTACTGTTTCAACGAATAAACGTTCGCTCAAACTTAAATATAAGTAAACGTGAATAACATAAAAGCGATTCTGCGAGTAATATATATATATATATATATATATATATATATATATATATATATATATATATATATATATATATATATATATATAGAGAGAGAGAGAGAGGGAGGGAGAGAGAGATGATATGTTAAATCCTTTTTGTGCGTTAGGAAGACTAAAGAACTCACTGAGTCATGATTTGGAAGTAGACATAAAGGTGAAACTCTAATTTATGGATGAGCTAATCCAAAGCATTTGGATGATTTCAAGGCTACGGTGCTAATTTCATTACATCATGCTCACGTACGACAAGTTTATAGCGGATTATAGAGAGGACATGGGATAGCTAAGAATTTTCTTTATTTGTGACTGAGGTAATCAAATGACTGTATTACTGTGCACAGACTACAACGATCAGGTTGTCTTTTGATGTTATTTCTGTTGGAGGAAGAAGTCTGCTGGAACAGGAACATTTTTCGCTCGATCTCGATTGAGACTTAGGTAAATCATGATTGAGAATCGGATACTAAAAACACCAGTCACACTGGCTGCAACATTTGCAGATGTTACCAAAGCTTCGGCAGTTCAGTGGTATGAGTATTGTCAAGATATATGTACAACAAAAATGACAAGCTTACACTAGTTGTTTGGAGGAGTCAGGAGTATCGTTGAAAAAGATAGATCAGTAGTCAAGAAACAAAAATTTAACAGAGGAAATAGTATTAAAGAAGACTGGGCAAGTAGCATTTCCATAAATATACCTAACAGGTCTTTGGAATATACAACAGGTCATCCTAAAAGAGTCAGTTCCAAAGGGTCAGAAACTGACAGGCAACGATGATAAAACCAATAAATCCTTAGTGATTTTCATTTTCTGTTTCTGTTTAAATTCTATCAATTACTTGAAATTATTACGCTTTTTATCTATTTTCTTGAACAAGCAACCATTTAGAAATGTCTACCATGATTTGACTAAAAGTGATTTGGAGGTAGACATGAATGTAGGTTTACTATTGGTTGGCAATTTTCAACAATTTGCATCATCAGTCCAGGTAAAAAACATAATTGGATCTTGTCATTTAATTATTTAGTCACAATCCTTGATGAAATGTATCATTCTGAGCAAAGATGGATAGTAGCTAGTAGTACAATTCAGGAAGCACGTTTCATCGTATTTTGGACTCTGGGAACCGAACCCTTTACCCTTCGCTTCAAAACGTTATCACCTTATACACTTAGCTATTGAGTGCTTATAGCCACTTGCTTGTGCAATGGGATGAAGCCTAGATTCACTTGGTATGAATAAATAAATACATTTGTAATATCCCAATGAATAGAAAAATTAGATTTCCTGACGTTTCGTAACTCAGTGTAAGTCACTTCTTCAGAGATTAAATAACCAAATAAAAAATTAATCAAAGTTTAAATAGTACAAAGTAGCAACCTAAGAATACTATGTGCGATCAATCAAGAAAATCAGGTCTGAACAAATCAATGTCATGTTATTTCGGTCAAGGTGATTCATATGAGATATGTTTCTATATTTGTGTAAGTGAATGTATGGTAAGTGGTGAAAAATATGACATGTATGGCGAGAAAGGTTAGACTTTAATTTGTATGTGTGATAACAGTGTGAAATGTGAATAGAATCAGACATGGTTCCTTGGATATATAGTCTAAGTAGGATATATGGTAAGCCTTTCGTTTCTGTTGAGAGCAGTAGGATTAAGCATTGTGTGGAACGCTTCAGCTAATCTCATTTGTTTGTAATTGGAAAAATCTCTTCGTAATATTTTGATATTTGAGAAATCGATTTGGTGATTGTTGAAAATGGCATGAACTGCTATTGACGATTCAAAATGAAGTTTATCCAGTTCTACGGGATTATTAGGAGGTTTATTTATGTACCTTTGATTCGAGTCAAAGTTTCACTATTTGACTGTCCAATATAGAAGGCATCGACACAGCCCAATTTCTAGACGCAGTTCCGTCTTGACATGAATGGGATTTTTTCTTTTAAGCGAACTAAAGTATTTCGAAATGTATTGGTTGTTTTGTAATATACTTTAATTTTATATTCTTTTAAGATTCTTTGGAGTTCTGTTGTGCCATGAAAGTATGGTAAAATTGTAGTACTAATCCATGGTATCTCTTTTAACCAGAACACACATACCCTCATACAAATATAGAAACATGTCTCCTATGAATCACCTTGACCGAAATAACATGACATTCAGACCTGATTTTCTTGATTGATCGCACATAGTATTCTTATGTTGCTACTTTGTACTATTTAAACTTTGGTTAATTTTTGATTTGGTTATTTATTCTCTGAAGAAGTGACTTACACTGAGTTACGAAACATCATAAAACTTAATTTTTCTACTCATTAGTATAATATAAATATTAGTATAGGGTTGTGGAGATTATTAATTTTTTGATTCAGACCATGAACTAATTGATATAAGATCACCACGGAAAACCTGGAAGTACTGAACGGCCATTTCGTTCTACTGGGAGGCAGTGCGTATCCACGATCTCACTCTCGGGATTCGAACCCAGCACCCATCAGTCTCGCACGCGAACGCCTAATGATTAGACCACTGAGCCGGCTGGCATCCAACGGTTTTAATGTCTAACCTCAAACAATCCATGAAATTGCGTAACCATCTTCTATTGTGCTTAGATAGATACCTGTCTCTACCCGATACGGTTAGCTATATCGACCATAGCTTCTCACTAGAACTCCGAAAATTCACCAACACGATCCCTATACTGATAATTACCGTGTGCTCATTAGTAACTAGCTTAAGAGTTTTATGCTAGGACGAAACGGCCATCCAGTGCTTCCACATTTTCAATGGTGGTCTAACATCAATCGGTTCATGATCTGAATCTAATACACATATATTTATTTATTTATTATAATCTCCCTGTTTTTTAAATGTAACAAACTTTCATGATTATGCAAAATAAAAGTGAGCTCATTAACTATGGTTTATTCTATGGATAAATGTTTTGTTTTTTTCATTCAAGTTTTTGTTAGTTGCTAATTACAAAAAGATTGAAGGATTCTTCATGTTTTTCATTAACTTATCCATCAAATTATAGATTATTTATAAGATGGAGTTTTTTTTTACAGAATGAAATTTTATATTAGTCAGTTTCATTTGTATCTATGGAGAAGTTTCATCTCATGTGTAGAATGAATTTTGTTTCGCTTATCTAAAGACACTATACTTGGAAATTTCTATCACGGAATAATAATAATAATAATAATAATAATAATACATAACTGACTCAGGATCTCAACCATTGAATTTATTATAATATCCACAAAATCCCTTCTGACATTATTCAGCATATGCTCACTAGTGACTGGTTTCAAGAGGTGAATCCTGGAGTTCTAGTGAGAAGCAGTGATTAGTCGAGTTCTACTAGGTCTGTTTTGTGAAATAGCAACTCACTGATGACAATGGTGTATGTGCGGCTCAGTTTTATGAATTAGTTGAAGTTAGACATTAACACCGTTGGATTCCGGCCGATTTAGCGATCTAATGGTTAAGCGTTCGCGTGCGAAACTGATAGGTTCTGGGTTGGAAACTCGTGAGATAGAGTCGTTGATGCGCACTACGGAGGAGTCCCACGATACGATGAAACAGCCGTCCAGTGTTCCAGGTTTTCTGTGGTGGTCTAGCTTCAGTTGACTTATGATCTCAACCACTGAAATTACTATAATATCTACAAAACCCTTTCTGATTTTATATTTATATGTAATATTAACCAATCCACTAAGTTTAGACACTTTTTAACTGTGACAGAACAAATATAGTCATGAATTTCAAAAAAAGAGAATCGATATATCCATACCACAATCTACACCGCAATACTGACAATAGTTTGAAAAAATAAAAGTATTTTATTGATGTTGGTTGTTAAAACAATGGTAAAATTCCTACAGTTGAAGAATATATGCAACTCAAAATAACAGTCTATCAACCAATAGCAAAGTCGCAATCATCA